CCTCTCTCTCTCTCTCTCTCTCTCTCTCTCTCTCTCTCTCCCCACCTCTTTCTCTCTCTCTCTAACTTGCTAGCTGTTACACCTTTTATCCCTCTCCAAACTCCAAACATCTAAGACGAACGTAAGGAGCACACACAGCATCGCTGGCTGGCAACACATTCTGCCCTAGTGACGCTTTGACCGACCTGGTCCTTGTATAACACGGATTCACCGTGCAATCTACCCAAGTGACTCTTTTCTTATAGCTGAATGGACAGGGCAACCTGAATGCAAACTCGTAGTGCAGATAATAATATACTTCAAACTCTCGTTATTTCAAAGTAAAGTTTTAGCGTCTGTGATAGCTTTTTAAGACTGGCTTTCATCACTACTACTGAATGATTTGAGTTACACAACTTACAGGATACCACTGAATGGCTACTTATGTAACCTGTGGCAGTTCCGGTTTTTGTTTGTTTTGTTTTCGTTTCTTGTTATTACATAGCTCATCGTGACATCAAAAAACCACACCAGAATGCTTAGAGTTACAAAACTTATTGAATACAATCTGAATAGTTTATTATGCAACCTGTATGAGTTTGATGGTTATTGTTGTTGTTGTTGTTGTTGTTGTTGTTGTTGTTGTTGTTGTTGTTGCTAGCTGATCTCTTACCTGTGGTACGAATGAGAAGGATATTCATTGTGACGTAATAGCCGTAATAGTCCAGAAAACCTATAATAATACAAGAAGACGAACCAAATCCTAAAAATCTCGCCTCTAAGAGATCGTTCAGCTTGGATTGAATGATAACTATTCATCTGGGTGACTTGTAAACCATTAGAACAACTATGATTCATTCCCTATTCCCCGCTCTCTATCCATATCAGGCTTACACTGTAACTTCTTGTCAGCAAAATAGCATTGCCTATTTACGCAAAAATAGAAGCTTCCTTGGCTTTTTCAACAAGAAAGGTAAGAATGGATCTGAACATTAAAGCTATACAGCTGATTTGTAAGTCACAGTTGTGTGTTGAAAACAAATTAGATCTAGATAAACCAAGTATATGCCACTTATTTCTAAGACAAACGTGTTTATTGAAAACTAAAGTATCACCACACAGTGCCATAACCATAACGTAGCCAAAAAATGAAAATAGTGCTTACAGATACATTCAGTCTCATAGCCACAGAAAGTCCCCAATGTGTTCTGTAAATATTCAAGACTAGCTCATGATACACTATAAATAATAGCCCACACATTCACTTGTGTACTCTCTTTTATCCTAATGCAGGCCTGAGCAGCTTTAAGACTGTGTGATGTTCTACTTAAATGTTACATAAATCGATGAGATACCATAATTACGAATAAGTAAGTACTATCGCTACGTTTATATTTATCCCTTGGCATACAGGGAAATGTGAGTCCCTGGCTACAAAGGCTATTGCTATTATTATCAAGTCACTTCAGTTTTCCCTCCTGAACTGTTTACATAAGAACTAAAAACAGAACAAGATTGGAGCACGATGGATAAAGAAGAAGTATGAAAACTCCGGGAAAGCTTCGTATAAGAAAGAAACTGTTGCTCTGACTAATGAAATTTAGTAACGTTTTCTCTTTAAGCCATCCAGTCTCCGGTGAGCGATAAAAAGAAATGAGATACAAAATGGCTTACCATGATACAGAGCAGATCGAAGTTGCTGTCAACCACTGTGTGAAGAGAGAGAAGTAAACAGTCCTCCTTTTTAAATTACATTTGGAAGTCGGACCTGTGCCAGCGAGCGTTGTCGCCTTCGCATTGCTGTTTCTATTTCTTAAGAGAGGTTAGACAGCACTTTAGAGGAGGTCACAGCGTTCCGCTTCATATCACACCCACCTCCCGTTTTTTGTTTGACAGAGGAACACGCACACGGACATACAGAGTGGGTGGTTGGCGAGTGCTCTGGTGCGGTTTGCTCTATCTTTCCTATTAAACATCAATCGTCATTACATCTCCTCCAATTTTGTGTTTGTTATTTTCTTGTAACCCCTCAAATCGCCGGCACTTCTATGACCTTAGAGTGTTGCAAGTGTCGTACAGTTCTTACTGAAAAGACCCCCCC